TGGTTAACTCTGAAAATTTGGTTGATTTTTGAGACTACTTATAAGTTTATAAACTAAGCTCAAGTTGATTTCTTTGATGTAAGTGCTTGCAATTTGTGTGCACCATCTCGGCTTTATTATTCTTAGCTTTACCTTAAGAAGCCACTCCTAGTTTGGCTTTTAAGCAAATGATTGAAAACGTTTAGAAAACGATTGAAAATTCTAAACAGCTTTAATCGCAGTCGTGAAACAAACGGGAAACTTTAAAATCCTTTTGATCTATAAAACAGTATCTGCTTCATTTGAACTATAAACCTTGCTGTCCAAAATTTCAAGTTTCTCAACAAACAACCACGCAATGTCTACAAAAGTCGTACCTTGTAATCTATGCCAAAAGAAACTGAGCGACCCGAGAAACTGAGCCACTGGCTGTTCACAAGATCGATGCTGTCAAAATTGACTCTATATGTGGTCACTGTGAACTGGAGATTAAGTCACTTCGTGTCTTTTGGGAACATGTGGTAGAGCGTCAGAAAACAATCGATGAGTCTGAACAAAGAAGAAATTGACAACGCGACATGAATGTGTTCAAAAAAGACATTGCGCGTAATCTGCGCATATGCGAAGCGGACGCAGTCTGCCAGCTTGGGATGTTTGTCGAGAAATCCTCACTTCTATACAACCTGTTTTGACATCTTTTGATGGAGCACTTAGATTATACGAGATAGTGCCCATGGAAAGAAGTGGACATACTTGCGCTATTCGTGACTAAGCGAGCGAGACGATATCGAAGAACTGATGCATCAAAAAACTATGTATGATCCTCAAAAAGCTCAGTTGTCGGCAGAAGTAACTTTTGAAAAAGAAAAAGCAGATGGCATAGAAGAAATGTAGAAGTTTAGGGATGGACCCAGGACCAATTTTATGATTGCTTTGACCAAAAAGTGTCTACTGTCCATCAAATATGCTTCTCATTGTAGCGACTGGAGAAATCGCAGGATTGATAAGGTTGTCCTATCCTTCAAATGGTAAAGTCCGCGCCGATCACGTGTTCATCGTACTTGCCACTACCAGCCGATCTTCTGAAACACAAACACTTTTTGTTGAACATTCGCAATTATGAAGACGATAGATGTTTTGAATACTCTTTTCTTGCTGAGTATCATCGGCGGAACAATATCCCGCTTACTCTTTGTACGATGCAGAGTAGAGAAAAGAAGAAAGCAAGCTTCTACGATTATCTCAGAAAACCAAGAGCGCAAGAGCTTGTACGATTTTCTTTACGATTTTTTTAGTTGGTGCAAACCTGTGTCTAAGCACATCAAGACTAATGGTTAGCTGCACATTCGTTGAAGAACTACTAGTATGATGGCTTAAAATTAATAGAAACTTACTACTCAAGTTTTTTCTGGAATTGCTAAGAGGAGTTTTCCAAAACTAACGCACAAATATTGGACCATAATCATTTCGATGGATCATTCCTCGGATGGGCTCACAACAGATGCAACTTAGTGAGACGTACCATACATTTCACCCCTGTCTTTGCCCACAATCTCCGAAATTACGGATGACACCATGTACTGAAGAGTCTGCATGATACTAAATCAGAAAAATCTTTTCGGTCATTCCACTCAATGACGAAAAATTTGGTTCATTGACAAACAAAGTGTGGATCAGATCGTACACTAACGAAAAAAAAGTCTACGAAGAAATCCTTTTTGTAAACAGTTGTAAGTTTATGAACAGCTCACTAAAGGAACTGGCTCAGAATCTTACCAGATAACCACTTTGGTAGCCGATCGGAAGAACCTAAAGCATTGATTCGACAAAAAAGGCTACTTCCCTTACTCGTATGTTGACAGGTATGCAAGATTTACATTAGATGGACTACCTGCTCGGGACAAGTGGATCCACACGCTGCAGGGAGGTGCTGCTGTTAGTATCAGTGAAAAAGAATACCAAATGCATGGTTAGTGTACACTCGTTTCGGTTGTCTGACTTTGGGCGACTACAGTGGTTTGTTTCTAACGACTGATGCCTTGATCCTTGCATGCGTGTTTGAAGAGATTAGACGAGCGTGTAATGAAACAAATAAGCTAGGTTGCGCTCAATATTTTACGGCTAGCAATCTCTCAGGGGATGCATTTTTGCAAACATGCAAGGCTGACCTCCATTTGCTCACTGATAGGGAGAATTCGGATATGGCAGAAAACATGATCAGGTGAGGCATTGTCAGTGTTTTTGAAAAAGTTCTGTTTTTAACAACATTAAGTCTATGAAAAAATACGAATCTAAACAGCCGAGCACTTAATTTTTAATGATAGACGCGAACAATTTATATAATGCGGGATTATGGATAAATTTCCTCTTGCAAAAATTTGATTCGAGTTTGATGGCCAAGTAACTATACCGGATACATCGGATACCTTTTGCACGTTGATCTTTTACACCCCGATTATCCGCACGATGGCCATTTGGATTAAACACTTGCCACAACAAAAGATATTGTGTCGAAAATGTGGCTCAGTGAGCTTCAATTGGACATGTTGAAAAAAAGGAAGTTTCAGATAAAGTGAGAACAACGCCCAAGCTCAAACAAAACTTCTTTCCAAAGAAAAACTATACTAAACACTACCTAATACCTTGTGTCACATTTGGTTTGAAAATGGAAAAAATATATCGATTTCTGCAGTTAGAGACAAGAAAAACTTATTGCGCCATATGTTCAGTGGAACACTGAGCTCCAAAAAAAAGTTACTACAAAACTTGCACCGGATTTCTCCAAACAAGTTATAAATAATGCGTTTGGAAAATTCTACAAATCAAAAAGTAAACGACCAATTGTAGATACTGCTCGGAATCCCGAAGAACTGCAAAACTTAACAACGAATAAAATGATTTAGCAGTGCAGAAATTATTGACCCAACCGTTTGTATCTTTAACCTCAAAACCTGTGAACATTAAAGAGAATAAGCTCACAATTATCTGTGGAAAGATATTAGAAATGGCAAAATTTTACATGTTCCAGTGTCATTACAACACAACCCAGAAAATTTTCGACGCAACTTTTTTTTATTCGGACACTGGTTCATTCCTCTATGAAATCCGCAGCAAAGATCTCTACAAGGAAATCGAGAAAAACCATGAACTGCGTAATCATTTTGATTTTTCAAATCTACCAGCCACCAACCCCTCTACAACAACAAAAATTTGCGGTTCACCCTCAATCTCAAGGACAAGTTTGCTGGGGATAATATACAGGAGTACTTCGAAATAAAACTCAAACTGTACAGCATTATTTTTTCCAGTAAATTTCTTTTTTAGTTTCCAATTACAATTTAGAAAAGGGCAATAAGACAATTCATAAGATTATGTAGCGGGGGAGTTTATCTGGAAAATCATAAAAACTGTCAAAAACTTGATTGAAATTGGTTGTCTTTTTGTGTAGAAAATGACAAAAGAAACGCCGAGGGTGTCTTCACATATACAAAACGGGAGCTAATCCATAATCAATACAATCAAACCTTGACTTACTATTCGCTGACCCGGTCAGAAATTATGCGGATAAGTTCCTGTAATCACAATTTACTAACCATACTAACAAACAAAATTTCCCTAGGCGCATTTGACAATAAGAGCTATATACATGCAGGCAGAGTAACTACTAGTCCTTTCGGACATAAACGTTTGCGTGAGGATATGTTCATAAAAGAAATTGGGCGCAACATGGACTGGGGCGAATACGTCATAGACGTGGTTGTCACTCCCACCGATAACGGAAAGGAGGATTTGGCTGCAGCTATAGAAGCGCAGGGTGGATATAACGTGGATGTTTTTACACCGCCAGATATGGGCTTCAATCATCCCACACACACTGCTTAAGAGTTAGAACAGGATTTGGCAGATGTCGACCAGCTAAGTGGGCAAAGCGGTTAAAAAATAGCAGCGTACAATTGCCTCTATTTGGAGATTGAGGCTCGAAACGAAAGCGAGCCGGAAGAAACAAGACCATCCAAATGGCGGTGCTTAAATCGACGCGTTTTACTATTAGACGGTTCTGAATAAGTTATGATTATAAATGATTAGCTTGATAGTACTTTTCATTCAGGATATAAAGCTTCTCAAAATTGTTATTTTTACCGAAAACTAAAAAAATCAACTCCAATCGTGAGGGGGTAATCAAAACAACAATATAAAACTACCAATTCAATCTAGTTCCACACAAAATAATCCACAATATAACAGTCACATTGAGGATGCATGTCGGATATAAGGCTGGTGCTGATCCTGACTCTCTGGTGGTGAAGGAGCTCTGCCTCAAACCGCGCCAGTGAGCTAAGAGGAAACCTCTTCCCCGGACTAGTGTCCCTGAGTCAGCTGAGTCGCAGTTACTCACTGAGCAACTCAGGGACGTAGTCGTCCTCGGGTTCTTGATTGAATCCAGGGCTTCTGATCTGCTTGGGCTAATGCACAGCCCAGCTGTTTCCATTACTCCCACCTCTTCTTATAAAGAAGAGGTTTTTTTATACAAACTTTGTTTTTTAGTTCCCTCTTTGCTTTATTTTTATTCCCTCTTTATCCACTCGAGTCTGCATTCTGCAAGATCAACCTTCGGGTAAGTGTATACAATTTATAGATATTAATCCTTAATATAACGCGCGGTGCGGTGAAATTTGAGCTGTCAAAGTCAAGGGAAAACATGCACCAACCAAAACTTAATTCCGTTCCCGTTTCCGTAGAGTCACCGGAAAATAACCAATTTTAACCCCCTTTAAACATGTGTGCCCGAAAAAGTAGGAGTTTTAACCCCTTTTGGGGGTCGAAAGTGGTCATTCCAACAGCAGGCCGAAAAAGGGGGTTAAAAAGGAGTTTTAACCCCTTTGGGGTTTAAAAGTGGTCCTTGCAACGGCACACCGCAAAAAAGGGGGAGGTTAAAATTGGTCTTTTTCCTAGCCACTTTTACACTACAACTGACTTGTCAAGCTACCGGTTAAAACCCTTGATTTTGTTTTCAGAGGGTGCTGAAAAACCGGAGAGTTTAATTCGAGTTGAGAAGCTGGCCAATGGGAAGACAGGGAAGAAAAAAGAAGTCACTTTCTACCTGATGGACATTCTGGAGAAAGATAAACTACTCACAATTTTCCAAGAGGTCACAACATCTCAGTTATTACAAAATAACTAAAATAATTATTTTTTCTAAGAATCGAGACAGTAAAAAGTGTCGGGACTTTCGAATAAACACAGACCAAAAAGCCGTTTTTGAGCACCTTTTGGAATGAATATATCGTCAAAAAAACTACTTTAAAAGCTTGAAAACCATTTCAAATTTAGTTTAAGTCAGCGCACAACCCCCTATGAAAAGTAAAACCAGAACGTGAAGAAAAAAAGCGACGACATAACAACTACGTTTGATTATTTAAGATAGTTTTGTGTATACTTTATAACATTATAGGCATCTGTTTAACAGAGTATGTTAATGTTGCAGCACAATTTTTTCTGCGTGATGCATCTAGCTGGTCTGAAGTAGGTGGGGGAGAGCGTGAAATATCCCCTGAAGTACTACGAGGTGAACATGGGCATAGCCACTAATCTGCTCAGATGTATGGACCAAACTGGCGTCACCAACTTCGTATTCGCCAGCAGTTCCACAGGTGTGTGACTTCCCGCGTTGACCAAAAAAAGCTTATCATACAATTTTCATCTATGAAAAAAATGCTTATCATACTCTTTCATACAATTTCATAGAGTAAAAGTGTATGTATGAAAATACCAAAATAAGCATTTTTTTCTTATATGAAATTGTATGATAAGCATTTTTTCCATACTATGAAATTGTATGATAAGCATTTTTTCCATAAAAGAAAATCTAAAAATTTTTGTTTCGAAATTTCGTGTTTCAACCGAACCACTAACCAAGGAATTTTTGTCATGAGAAAACCCAGAGTGTAACTGGCAGTTACCACGCTCATAAACTGCATTTGGTGTTTTAGCTATAAAAGTTAATTATAACTTTTCACATGGAATCATATACCAAAAAAATAACTTTTTGAATATGGCTAGATATTTTTAGCTTGAAAATTATGATGATTGAGAAAAAAGGCCTGTTTTATTTTTATCTTAGCAAATGAAACAAAAGATAATAATCGTGTTTACGAAAAAAAAATATAATGATGTAATTTTTGACTTTTTGGGTGAGAAACTCATCCTGGACTACGTTATAAACACAAAAATGTCAAATTTTGCATGCAAGTTTTTGTTTTCGTAAAATTTAAATTTTAGCACAAATGCAAATTTGCAGCCAAAAAAAAATTTAAAATTTTTTACCTCAAATTTTAAAATTTGTTTATGAAAAAAATGCATAACATACAATTTTCTTATATGAAAACTTTTTTATAAGCACTTTTTTGACCGAAATTAAAACTATGTTTTTGATTGTCAATAAGCCCTCTATCATAGATATACTTATTTAAATCTATTAAAAGTTACCCAGACACGTTTTTTGGTGATTTTTTGAAAATTTTGTTTTTTTTTCTATGACGAAACGACTATTTTAAATTTTTCATACATGAAAATTGTATGAAAAGCTTTTTTTCCATAGACTTCATATATGAAACTGTATGATAAGCATTTTTCTGTGTACAAACACAGTGCTAACGAATAACGAGCCAAAACAATCGAGCAGCAGTTTCATTTAGAAAAAAATATGAAAAACTGGGTCTTTTCTGGGGTCTTCTTCATCAGCCCAAAAATCAATATTTCAACGTCTTGAAATGAAACTACCATGTTTCAATCTGATTTGCTAGAATTAGCCAATCAAATTGTAGTTTCAACTCAAAATTTTTTATTCACCATTTTAAGTCGAATTCAAATTAGCCGAATCGGCGAAAAATATTGAATATTTTGTTACATATTCAAGTTTGTTTCAAATGCTGCAAAATTTTTACAAGATCAGAAAAAAAAACGCAAAAAAGAGCTCGAGGAAAAAAATGAAAAACTTCACATCTGCTCAAAATTCGGTCTTGTTAGAAATTGGCTAAAGAATACAAGAATACAGTGATTGTTGCAAACATCCACCCGCTATGACAAACATCCTCTGTGTCAAACATCCGAACTTATATGATAACTAGATAATCATATGACGTTAGAATTTCAAACACGCGACATAGTTCTGTTAACTGACTCCAATTTAGCGAAGTCTCGGTTTCTGGTCACGGGTGGGTGCGCTACGTAGGCCACATTGGCTCTAATTTTCATATAGAATTCTACCCTCTGTTTGCGAATCTTAATACGATGGCTCAAGTGCGGTATATTTTAAGTATATTTTAAGCGAACGGTAGATATAGGATTTTTGCCCAACTTTTTGAATGTCGAATGTCTGTGCTGCTAAAACTGCTTATCGAAAGTTTGCAACGCTTTTTTGTTTTTCGAATTTTAGCTGCATCAGAATTCTGCACAATGCCCTACAATAAATTGCCTTTCGATAAGTTCGTTTTGTAACTTTGTTTTTTGGGAGCGCATTTCAGAACTCTAGTGGCCACCCCTATCTTCATTTTCGGCGCTGTTGAACAAAGTTTTCATTTTCGGCACTGTTGTACTTCGGCACTGTTGTACTGCCCCGTCTTGGAGCAACATCATGTTTTGTTCAGTTGTTTCTGGGTTCCACCGTCAGTGAAAAAGAGAAAAAATTATCAGAGAAAAAAAAGTACTTCACATTTTTGCCAAAGAGCAAAAGAGACGCCTATTAATGTTCCGGTTTCATAACGACGTACAGAAAGGGAACATTGTGCCCTGGTTTTTTTCGACTTTTTAACAACATGTTTCGATTTCAATTTTTATTTAGCCATTTTTGATGGATTTTTGAATTAGCATTCAAAAGGTATTGTTTCTCAATTTGAGCCTCAATTTGAAAAAAATATATATATTTCACTTGTGATCATTTTTCGTAATGTTATAAAGGTTTAAAAATTGCCATTTTGGCCAATCTGCGACAATTAACGCGCGATATATTTCGCGCTATAAATTCGTAAGCGGAGATTTGATACGTCATAGAAATTGTTCTAAATTGTGAGAAGGGAGCTTATTTCACATAACTGATTGGTTAATAAGGGGCGAGAAGGGGCAGTACAACAGTGCCGAAGTACAACAGTGCCGAGAATGAAAACTTTGTTCAACAGTGCCGAAAATGATAATTTTGTTCAACAGTGCCGAAAATGAAAATTTTCTTCAACAGTGCCTAAAATTTGAATAAATTTCAACATATTAAGTGCAGCAATCAAAAATTAAACAGCGATCGTTAACAATGTTGAGTAAAACTTTAAAATTTTGAGCAAAAAAATTTGCAATTTAGACGTTTTGGCGCCAAAATAATTGTTTAGTTTGCAGTTGCAGACAAATTGGCGCTAAAATTGGAGTGATTTTCTTTGATAATTAGCGTCAGTAGTTTCCCGCTCTTTAGAAATTGCGTGTAAATTATTCTGAAATTTTCCCGCCTTTTTCGGCTTTGTTGTACTTCGGCACTGTTGACGCCCCCTCCAAGACTAGTTCAAGCTGCAAAGTTTGTGAAATCCAGAGCAGCTTGCGGAATAGAAAAACAAATACTGTGATAGTACACTCGAGGAGGAGGATTACATTTGATTTTTTTAAGGGGAAGAATTTAAACTTGATCATTTTTAAGACAAGCAGCAGACACGTTATTTTTTTTAAGTAATATTCATCTTTTTGATTTGTCGATGCCGCCAAGTAAAAATACATTTTCAGCTTTGGGCTATAAGAGCTCTAAATTCATATTGTAGTCGTTAATAATTCTAAACTTTGCGAACTATTTAACAAGCTAGATAGCCTTCAACTTCCGATCAAAATGGTACTTTAAAATAATCTCTACAATATTTACGCACAGTCTTTTGCAATGAGTGAAAACGTAAAGTAGGTACTTTGGATCTACTTAACAATCTCCACCCCTTTCAAGAAAGGTGTGAGATTGTTAACGAGATCAAAATGATCAATTTTTCGACAATCAGATTGCAGCAAATTTAGAAATTAGGGTTCTCAAAAGAAAGCTCGGTGCTAATGTGCTGTATTTATTTACAGGGGTGGAGATTCTCAAGTAGACCATTGGGGGGGGGGGATTGTTAAGTAGATCCGTTACTTTTTATCTTGTCTTTAAAAACAAAACTTATTGTACCAAATTTTTTATTAGTACTCATAACAAGACTGACTGCTCGTATCAGGGCGAAGCCTTGAATGTTCCGACTGCCTTTTAAGGTCTATGGAGCATTAATAACATGAAAAAATTAATGCAAAAAAAAGTATTTTTTTTTAATTAGAGATTTTTTGCGAAAATCATCCCCCCCCCCGCACACCATATAAAATTCAAAGTGATAGATTTCGCTCCTAGTGACAACTCAATTATGGCAAATAAGCTTACTTCAACCAATTTGGAGCGAATTCTAAGCCGGATTAAACCTCCGCTTACGCGTTATTAGCGCAAAATATATGTCCCAAATTGGCCTAAATGGTAACCTTTAAACCACTATAACTTAAAATAAAATAATCACAGGTGAAATATCTTTTCAATATTAAGCTCAGGACAACCATATCTTTTGAATGATATTAAAAAACTGTCAAAAATGCCTAATTAAAAAGTCGAAATTTGTCTGAAGAAAAAAACCCACCCCGAGCACAAATATTCCATTACTTTCGTTACAAAAGTCGGAACAATAATAATGATAATAATAGTAAATTCGTAATCAGGCCAATTTTGTAGGCAGCTTACGATATTGGTAATAACTATATTCCAGATATTGGTTACAACTATACTTGTACATTTGCACAGTGTATGGGCCAGTGCCGTGTGAACAACTGCCGATAACTGAGGAGCAGCCGACTGGCAACTGCACGTGTGCATATGGGAGAACCAAGTACTTCATTGAAGAGATGCTCAAGGACTGCTGTCGGGCCAACCCGGTGAGTCGAGTATAACATTGCAACATGGATCAAGTTAACATCGTCCTCAATCCTCATCCCACGATAGACCAAAGTTAAGATCTTCCCCGCGCCGAAGTTTCTCCGATTATTATCTATTATCTGGCGATTTTGTGGTCGAATCAAAAAATTATTCTTCTATTTTCTTTCTATTATAATAGAAAATGTTGCTTAAATTGGTTACACATAATCTATTATAATGGCAATATTTTCGGCAACATTTTCTCAATATAATCTGTTTTTATCCGAGAAACTTTGGTGCGGGTCCACCCCTACATTCACTTTAAATTACATTTTTTCAGCTCTGCATGCAAAATTCTATCTATTCTGATTGGCTGAAAGTTCGAACTCAGAACCAACTTAATCCATTCTCCCCCCTAAATCGCTCTAGGGGGGATGCTGTTAATTTGGTCCTGCAACACCTTTTGCTGCATATGAAGCGTTGCGACACTCGCCCAGCGTTAAAAGTATTGCAGAGTCCTCTTAGCACTAAAACTACAAATGAGTTTTCGAATGTAAGTCATTGATTAGTTGGTTTTATTAATTATAAATATGGCTTAGAAACTTTCTACCAAAATAACATCATTCCCGAAGTGATTTAAGGGGAGGATATTAAGTTGGTTCATAGCTGGAATTTTCTGCCAATCGGGAGATCTTAATTTGGCCTAGTTAGGGGAGAGGATGGTAACCCGGGTTGACCTCCATACACTGAAATTGCTTATCATACAATTCCATACAACAAAATTCATTATCATACAAATCCATACATCATGTGTATGGAGAAAATGCTTGTCATACAATTTTCTTACTTTTTCGAAAACAATAGAAAAAAAACCATTTCTGCGTCTTTTTGAGAACAGAACAGTTGAACAGACTGGTGAAAAAAAAACTGATTTTTTGAAGAAAAAAAATACTTTCCACAAAATTTCAATTTATGGAAATTATATGACTGGCATTTTTTGATGGCGACACAGAATTTTTTCAAGCAATTTTGAAAAATTGCCCCAAAATTTTTTCGTTTTTTTTTCAACCGCAAATCGAATTTCGTACGGAAATATTTTTCGAAAATTTTTTTTGCATGCAAAATTTAGTTTTTTGCTGTATAACGCAGTCCTGGATACGATAATATTGTCTTTTTTTCACCTAATTTTTTTTCTTCAAAAACGCTGAAAATTCCTATTTCTTTTGTATGGCGAGTTTATGTATGCCTTGATCAAAGTCTGATAATTTGAAAATTCAAAAATTTAAAATAATCATCATTGGAAAATTTTGCCAAACCTTAAAAGTTTGTTACTTTTGCTATCCCGCACCCAGTTTCAAGCGTTAATAATCGATTACACTACGATTTTAGTACCAGTTTCACTAAAACTGAGAAACAATCGATTTTAATCAATTAGTAATTGATTATAATCTCTCTTTATAAAATCAAATTATTATTAATTATAATCTATTATAGTCAATAATAATCGATTATTTTTTCGTCTATATTTCGATACAATTTCAATCGATTATAGTTGATTATAATCCATTATTTATGTTCAAATTTCTATTTCGTTAGTTTTGCACAAAAATCCATTATAATCGATTATAATTGATTATAATCCCTTTTGTTTGTCCATTTTTGTCTTCACAGTTACATCTAAATTGCTTATACTTTATGCTTTATGTGGACGTTGATTTCTTTAAAAAATGAGAAAAATAGTTTTAAAATTTTCCAATTAATTCAAATTTTTAAGTTTTTTTGTCATTTCTTCCCCACTAGAGTTGTTTTGTGATGCATATTTTAGGCTTTTTTAAACACCAAAACATCAGAAAATTGATTTAGTTCCCTGATTGATTCGGAAAATTTATTTTTCATCTACCGCGAGAATCTTTCCACTCATATGAAAGAATCTATTATAATAGAAAACGTTGCTTAAATTTGTTACACATAATCTATTATAATGGCAATATTTTTGGCAAAATTTTCTCAATATAATCTGTTTTTATCCGAGAAACTTTGGTGCGGGTCCACCCCTACATTCATTTAGAATTACATTTTTTCAGCTCTGCTTGCAAAATTCTATCTATTCTGATTGGCTGAAAGTTCGAACTCAGAACCAACTTAACATCCTCCCCCCCCCCTAAATCGCTCCAGGGGGGATGCTGTTAATTTGGTCCTGCAACACCTTTTGCTGCATATGAAGCGTTGCGACACTTGCCCAGCGTTAAAAGTATTGCAGAGTCCTCTTAGCACTAAAACTACAAATGAGTTTTTGAATGTAAGGCATTGATTAGTTGGTTTTATTAATTATAAATATGGCTTAAAAACTTTCTACCAAAATAACATCATTCCCCGAAGTGATTTAAGGGGAGGATATTAACTTGGTTGAAAGCTGGAATTTTCTGCCAATCGGGAGATCTTAATTTGGTCTAGTTAGGGGAGAGGATGGTAACAAGGGTTGAACTCCATACACTGAAAATGCTTATCATACAATTCCATACAACAAAATTCATTGTCATACAAATCCATACATCATGTGTATGGAGAAAATGCTTGTCATACAATTTTCTTATTTTTTCGAAAACAATAGAAAAAAATAAACCATTTCCCCTAACTAGACCAAATTAAGATCTCCCGATTGGCAGAAAATTCCAGCTTTGAACCAAGTTAAAATCCTCCCCTTAAATTACTTCGGGGAATGATGTCATTTTGGTAGAAAAATTCTAAAACATATTTATAATTAATAAAACCAACTAATCAATGACTTACATTCAAGAACTCATTTGTAGTTTTAGTGCTAATCGGACACTGCAATACTTTTAACGCTGGGCGAGTGTCGCAACGCTTCATATGCAGCAAAAGGTGTTGCAGGACCAAATTAACAGCATCCCCCCTAGAGCGATTTAGGGGGAGAATGGATTAAGTTGGTTCTGAGTTCGAATTTTCAGCCAATCAGAATAGATAGAATTTTGCATGCAGAGCTGAAAAAATGTATTTTTATATGATTGTAATGGTGGACCCGCACCAAAGTTTCTCGGATAAAAACAGATTATATTGAGAAAATGTTGCCAAAAATATTGCCATTATAATAGAATATGTGTAACCAATTTAAGCAACATTTTCAATATAATAGATTCTTTCATATGAGCGGAAACATTCTCGCGGTAGATGAAAAATAAATTTTCCGAATCAATCATGAACCTAAATCAATTTTCTGATGTTTTGGTGTTTAAAAAAGCCCAAAAATATGAATCACAAATCAACTCTAGTGGGGAAGAATTGAAAAAAAAATTTATAAATTTGAAATAATTGGAAAATTTTAAAACTATTTTTCTCATTTTTAAAGAAAGCAACGTCCACATAAAGCATAAAATATAAGCAATTTAGATGTAACTGTGAAGACAAAAATGGACAAACAAAAGGGATTATAATCAATTATAATCAATTATAATGGATTTTTGTGCAAAACTAACGAAATACAAATTTGAATAAAAATAATGGTTTATAATCAACTATAATCGATTCAAATTGTATCGAAATTTAGACGAAAAAATAATGCATTATTATTGATTATAATAGATTATAATTAATAATAATTTGATTTTATAAAGAGAGATTATAATCAATTACTAATTGATTAAAATCCATTGTTTCTCAGTTTTAGTGAAACTGGTACTAAAATCGTAGTGTAATCGATTATTAACGCTTGAAACTGGATGCGGGATAGCAAAAGTAACAAACTTTTAAGGTTTGGCAAAATTTTTTAATGATGATTATTTGAAATTTTTGAATTTTCAAATTATCAGACATTGATCAAGGCATACATAAACTCGCCATACAAAAAAAATAGAAATTTTCAGCGTTTTTGAAAAAAAGTTAGGTGAAAAAAAGACAATTTTATCGTATCCAGGACTGCGTTATGCACACAAAAAACTAAACGTTGCATGCAAAAAAATTTTTCGAAAAATACTTCCGTACAAAATTCGATTTGCGGTTGAAAGAAAAAACAAAAAAAATTTCTGGGCAATTTTTCAAAATTACTAGAGAAAATTCTGTGTCGCCATCAAAAAATGCCAGTCATATAATTTCCATATATGGAAATTTTGTGGAAAGTATTTTTTTTTCAAAAAATTATTTTAAATCAGTTTTTTTGTCACCAGTCTGTTCAACTGTTCTGTTCTCAAAAAGATGCAGAAATGGTTTATTTTTTTCTATTGTTTTCGAAAAAATAAGAAAATTGTATGACAAGCATTTTCTCCATACACATGATGTATGGATTTGTATGACAATGAATTTTGTTGTATGGAATTGTATGATAAGCATTTTCAGTGTATGGAGTTCAACCCTTGTTACCATCCTCTCCCCTAACTAGACCAAATTAAGATCTCCCGATTGGCAGAAAATTCCAGCTTTCAACCAAGTTAATATCCTCCCCTTAAATCACTTCGGGGAATGATGTTATTTTGGTAGAAAGTTTTTAAGCCATATTTATAATTAATAAAACCAACTAATCAATGCCTTACATTCAAAAACTCATTTGTAGTTTTAGTGCTAAGAGGACTCTGCAATACTTTTAACGCTGGGCAAGTGTCGCAACGCTTCATATGCAGCAAAAGGTGTTGCAGGACCAAATTAACAGCATCCCCCCTGGAGCGATTTAGGGGGGGGGGGGAGGATGTTAAGTTGGTTCTGAGTTCGAACTTTCAGCCAATCAGAATAGATAGAATTTTGCAAGCAGAGCTGAAAAAATGTAATTCTAAATGAATGTAGGGGTGGACCCGCACCCAAAGTTTCTCGGATAAAAACAAGATTATATTGAGAAAATTTTGCCAAGAATATTGCCAATTATAATAGATTATGTGTAACAAATTTAAGCAACGTTTTCTATTATAATAGATTCTTTCATATGAGTGGAAAGATTCTCGCGGTAGATGAAAAATAAATTTCCGAATCAATCAGGGAACTAAATCAATTTTCTGATGTTTTGGTGTTTAAAAAAAGCCTAAAATATGCATCACAAAACAACTCTAGTGGGAAGAAATGGCAAAAAACTTAAAAATTTGAATTAATTGGAAAATTTTAAAACTATTTTTCTCATTTTTTAAAGAAATCAACGTCCACATAAAGCATAAAGTATAAGCAATTTAGATGTAACTGTGAAGACAAAAATGGACAAACAAAAGGGATTATAATCAATTATACTCGATTATAATGGATTTTTGTGCAAAACTAACGAAATAGAAATTTGAACATAAATAATGGATTATAATCAACTATAATCGATTGAAATTGTATCGAAATATAGACGAAAAAATAATCGATTATTATTGACTATAATAGATTATAAATTAATAATAATTTGATTTTATAAAGAGAGATTATAATCAATTTTTAATTGATTAAAATCGATTGTTTCTCAGTTTTAGTGAAACTGGTACTAAAATCGTAGTGTAATCGATTATTAACGCTTGAAACTGGGTGCGGGATAGCAAAAGTAACAACTTTTAAGGTTTGGCAAAATTTTCCAATGATGATTATTTTAAATTTTTGAATTTTCAAATTATCAGACTTTGATCAGGCATACATAAACTCGCCATACAAAAGAAATAGGAATTTTCAGCGTTTTTGAAGAAAAAAAATTAGGTGAAAAAAAGACAATATTATCGTATCCAGGACTGCGTTATACAGCAAAAAACTAAATTTTGCATGCAAAAAAAATTTTCGAAAAATATTTCCGTACGAAATTCGATTTGCGGTTGAAAAAAAAACGAAAAAATTTTGGGGCAATTTTTCAAAATTGCTTGAAAAAATTCTGTGTCGCCATCAAAAAATGCCAGTCATATAATTTCCATAAATTGAAATTTTGTGGAAAGTATTTTTTTTCTTCAAAAAATCAGTTTTTTTTTCACCAGTCTGTTCAACTGTTCTGTTCTCAAAAAGACGCAGAAATGGTTTTTTTTCTATTGTTTTCGAAAAAGTAAGAAAATTGTATGACAAGCATTTTCTCCATACACATGATGTATGGATTTGTATGATAATGAATTTTGTTGTATGGAATTGTATGATAAGCAATTTCAGTGTATGGAGGTCAACCCGGGTTACCATCCTCTCCCCTAACTAGGCCAAATTAAGATCTCCCGATTGGCAGAAAATTCCAGCTATGAACCAACTTAATATCCTCCCCTTAAATCACTTCGGGAATGATGTTATTTTGGTAGAAAGTTTCTAAGCCATATTTATAATTAATAAAACCAACTAATCAATGACTTACATTCGAAAACTCATTTGTAGTTTTAGTGCTAAGAGGACTCTGCAATACTTTTAACGCTGGGCGAGTGTCGCAACGCTTCATATGCAGCAAAAGGTGTTGCAGGACCAAATTAACAGCATCCCCCCTAGAGCGATTTAGGGGGGAGAATGGATTAAGTTGGTTCTGAGTTCGAACTTTCAGCCAATCAGAATAGATAGAATTTTGCATGCAGAGCTGAAAAAATGTAATTTAAAGTGAATGTAGGGGTGGACCCGCACCAAAGTTTCTCGGATAAAAACAGATTATATTGAGAAAATGTTGCCGAAAATATTGCCATTATAATAGATTATGTGTAACCAATTTAAGCAACATTTTCTATTATAATAGAAAGAAAATAGAAGAATAATTTTTTGATTCGACCACAAAATCGCCAGATAATAGATAATAATCGGAGAAACTTCGGCGCGGGGAAGATCTTAACTTTGGTCTATCGTGGGATGAGGATTGAGGACGATGTTAACTTGATCCGTGTTGCAATGTTATACTCGACTCACCGGGTTGGCCCGACAGCAGTCCTTGAGCATCTCTTCAATGAAGTACTTGGTTCTCCCATATGCACACGTGCAGTTGCCAGTCGGCTGCTCCTCAGTTATCGGCAGTTGTTCACACGGCACTGGCCCATACACTGTGCAAATGTACAAGTATAGTTGTAACCAATATCTGGAATATAGTTATTACCAATATCGTAAGCTGCCTACAAAATTGGCCTGATTACGAATTTACTATTATTATCATTATTATTGTTCCGACTTTTGTAACGAAAGTAATGGAATATTTGTGCTCGGGGTGGGTTTTTTTCTTCAGACAAATTTCGACTTTTTAATTAGGCATTTTTGACAGTTTTTTAATATCATTCAAAAGATATGGTTGTCCTGAGCTTAATATTGAAAAGATATTTCACCTGTGATTATTTTATTTTAAGTTATAGTGGTTTAAAGGTTACCATTTAGGCCAATTTGGGACATATATTTTGCGCTAATAACGCGTAAGCGGAGGTTTAATCCGGCTTAGAATTCGCTCCAAATTGGTTGAAGTAAGCTTATTTGCCATAATTGAGTTGTCACTAGGAGCGAAATCTATCACTTTGAATTTTATATGGTGTGCGGGGGGGGGATGATTTTCGCAAAAAATCTCTAATTAAAAAAAAATACTTTTTTTTGCATTAATTTTTTCATGTTATTAATGCTCCATAGACCTTAAAAGGCAGTCGGAACATTCAAGGCTTCGCCCTGATACGAGCAGTCAGTCTTGTTATGAGTACTAATAAAAAATTTGGTACAATAAGTTTTGTTTTTAAAGACAAGATAAAAAGTAACGGATCTACTTAACAATCCCCCCCCCAATGGTCTACTTGAGAATAGAAAGAAAATAGAAGAATAATTTTTTGATTCGACCACAAAATCGCCAGATAATAGATAATAATCGGAGAAACTTCGGCGCGGGGAAGATCTTAATTTTGGTCTATCGTGGGATGAGGATTGAGGACGATGTTAACTTGATCCATGTTGCAATGTTATACTCGACTCACCGGGTTGGCCCGACAGCAGTCCTTGAGCATCTCTTCAATGAAGTACTTGGTTCTCCCATATGCACACGTGCAGTTGCCAGTCGGCTGCTCCTCAGTTATCGGCAGTTGTTCACACGGCACTGGCCCATACACTGTGCAAATGTACAAGTATAGTTGTAACCAATATCTGGAATATAGTTATTACCAATATCGTAAGCTGCCTACAAAATTGGCCTGATTACGAATTTACTATTATTATCATTATTATTGTTCCGACTTTTGTAACGAAAGTAATGGAATATTTGTGCTCGGGGTGGGTTTTTTTCTTCAGACAAATTTCGACTTTTTAATTAGGCATTTTTGACAGTTTTTTAATATCATTCAAAAGATATGGTTGTCCTGAGCTTAATATTGAAAAGATATTTCACCTGTGATTATTTTATTTTAAGTTATAGTGGTTTAAAGGTTACCATTTAGGCCAATTTGGGACATATATTTTGCGCTAATAACGCGTAAGCGGAGGTTTAATCCGGCTTAGAATTCGCTCCAAATTGGTTGAAGTAAGCTTATTTGCCATAATTGAGTTGTCACTAGGAGCGAAATCTATCACTTTGAATTTTATATGGTGTGCGGGGGGGGGATGATTTTCGCAAAAAATCTCTAATTAAAAAAAAATACTTTTTTTTGCATTAATTTTTTCATGTTATTAATGCTCCATAGACCTTAAAAGGCAGTCGGAACATTCAAGGCTTCGCCCTGATACGAGCAGTCAGTCTTGTTATGAGTACTAATAAAAAATTTGGTACAATAAGTTTTGTTTTTAAAGACAAGATAAAAAGTAACGGATCTACTTAACAATCCCCCCCCCCCCCAATGGTCTACTTGAGAATCTCCACCCCTGTAAATAAATACAGCACATTAGCACCGAGCTTTCTTTTGAGAACCCTAATTTCTAAATTTGCTGCAATCTGATTGTCGAAAAATTGATCATTTTGATCTCGTTAACAATCTCACACCTTTCTTGAAAGGGGTGGAGATTGTTAAGTAGATCCAAAGTACCTACTTTACGTTTTCACTCATTGCAAAAGACTGTGCGTAAATATTGTAGAGATTATTTTAAAGTACCATTTTGATCGGAAGTTGAAGGCTATCTAGCTTGTTAAATAGTTCGCAAAGTTTAGAATTATTAACGACTACAATATGAATTTAGAGCTCTTATAGCCCAAAGCTGAAAATGTATTTTTACTTGGCGGCATCGACAAATCAAAAAGATGAATATTACTTAAAAAAAATAACGTGTCTGCTGCTTGTCTTAAAAATGATCAAGTTTAAATTCTTCCCCTTAAAAAAATCAAATGTAATCCTCCTCCTCGAGTGTACTATCACAGTATTTGTTTTTCTATTCCGCAAGCTGCTCTGGATTTCACAAACTTTGCAGCTTGAACTAGTCTTGGAGGGGGCGTCAACAGTGCCGAAGTACAACAAAGCCGAAAAAGGCGGGAAAATTTCAGAATAATTTACACGCAATTTCTAAAGAGCGGGAAACTACTGACGCTAATTATCAAAGAAAATCACTCCAATTTTGGCGCCAATTTGTCTGCAACTGCAAATTAAACAATTATTTTGGCGCCAAAACGTCTAAATTGCAAATTTTTTTGCTCAAAATTTTAAAGTTTTACTCAACATTGTTAACGATCGCTGTTTAATTTTTGATTGCTGCACTTAATATGTTGAAATTTATTCAAATTTTAGGCACTGTTGAAGAAAATTTTCATTTTCGGCACTGTTGAACAAAATTATCATTTTCGGCACTGTTGAACAAAGTTTTCATTCTCGGCACTGTTGTACTTCGGCACTGTTGTACTGCCCCTTCTCGCCCCTTATTAACCAATCAGTTATGTGAAATAAGCTCCCTTCTCACAATTTAGAACAATTTCTATGACGTATCAAATCTCCGCTTACGAATTTATAGCGCGAAATATATCGCGCGTTAATTGTCGCAGATTGGCCAAAATGGCAATTTTTAAACCTTTATAACATTACGAAAAATGATCACAAGTGAAATATATATATTTTTTTCAAATTGAGGCTCAAATTGAGAAACAATACCTTTTGAATGCTAATTCAAAAATCCATCAAAAATGGCTAAATAAAAATTGAAATCGAAACATGTTGTTAAAAAGTCGAAAAAAACCAGGGCACAATGTTCCCTTTCTGTACGTCGTTATGAAACCGGAACATTAATAGGCGTCTCTTTTGCTCTTTGGCAAAAATGTGAAGTACTTTTTTTTCTCTGATAATTTTTTCTCTTTTTCACTGGCGGTGGAACCCAGAAACAACTGAACAAAACATGATGTTGCTCCAAGACGGGGCAGTACAACAGTGCCGAAGTACAACAGTGCCGAAAATGAAAACTTTGTTCAACAGCGCCGAAAATGAAGATAGAGGTGGCCACTAGAGTTCTGAAATGCGCTCCCAAAAAACAAAGTTACAAAACGAACTTATCGAAAGGCAATTTATTGTAGGGCATTGTGCAGAATTCTGATGCAGCTAAAATTCGAAAAACAAAAAAGCGTTGCAAACTTTCGATAAGCAGTTTTAGCAGCACAGACATTCGACATTCAAAAAGTTGGGCAAAAATCCTATATCTACCGTTCGCTTAAAATATACTTAAAATATACCGCACTTGAGCCATCGTATTAAGATTCGCAAACAGAGGGTAGAATTCTATATGAAAATTAGAGCCAATGTGGCCTACGTAGCGCACCCACCCGTGACCAGAAACCGAGACTTCGCTAAATTGGAGTCAGTTAACAGAACTATGTCGCGTGTTTGAAATTCTAACGTCATATGATTATCTAGTTATCATATAAGTTCGGATGTTTGACACAGAGGATGTTTGTCATAGCGGGTGGATGTTTGCAACAATCACTGTATTCTTGTATTCTTTAGCCAATTTCTAACAAGACCGAATTTTGAGCAGATGTGAAGTTTTTCATTTTTTTCCTCGAGCTCTTTTTTGCGTTTTTTTTTCTGATCTTGTAAAAATTTTGCAGCATTTGAAACAAACTTGAATATGTAACAAAATATTCAATATTTTTCGCCGATTCGGCTAATTTGAATTCGACTTAAAATGGTGAATAAAAAATTTTGAGTTGAAACTACAATTTGATTGGCTAATTCTAGCAAATCAGATTGAAACATGGTAGTTTCATTTCAAGACGTTGAAATATTGATTTTTGGGCTGATGAAGAAGACCCCAGAAAAGACCCAGTTTTTCATATTTTTTTCTAAATGAAACTGCTGCTCGATTGTTTTGGCTCGTTATTCGTTAGCACTGTGTTTGTACACAGAAAAATGCTTATCATACAGTTTCATATATGAAGTCTATGGAAAAAAAGCTTTTCATACAATTTTCATGTATGAAAAATTTAAAATAGTCGTTTCGTCATAGAAAAAAAAACAAAATTTTCAAAAAATCACCAAAAAACGTGTCTGGGTAACTTTTAATAGATTTAAATAAGTATATCTATGATAGAGGGCTTATTGACAATCAAAAACATAGTTTTAATTTCGGTCAAAAAAGTGCTTATAAAAAAGTTTTCATATAAGAAAATTGTATGTTATGCATTTTTTTCATAAACAAATTTTAAAATTTGAGGTAAAAAATTTTAAATTCTTTTTTTGGCTGCAAATTTGCATTTGTGCTAAAATTTAAATTTTACGAAAACAAAAACTTGCATGCAAAATTTGACATTTTTGTGTTTATAACGTAGTCCAGGATGAGTTTCTCACCCAAAAAGTCAAAAATTACATCATTATATTTTTTTTTCGTAAACACGATTATTATCTTTTGTTTCATTTGCTAAGATAAAAATAAAACAGGCCTTTTTTCTCAATCATCATAATTTTCAAGCTAAAAATATCTAGCCATATTCAAAAAGTTATTTTTTTGGTATATGATTCCATGTGAAAAGTTATAATTAACTTTTATAGCTAAAACACCAAATGCAGTTTATGAGCGTGGTAACTGCCAGTTACACTCTGGGTTTTCTCATGACAAAAATTCCTTGGTTAGTGGTTCGGTTGAAACACGAAATTTCGAAACAAAAATTTTTAGATTTTCTTTTATGGAAAAAATGCTTATCATACAATTTCATAGTATGGAAAAAATGCTTATCATACAATTTCATATAAGAAAAAAATGCTTATTTTGGTATTTTCATACATACACTTTTACTCTATGAAATTGTATGAAAGAGTATGATAAGCATTTTTTTCATAGATGAAAATTGTATGATAAGCTTTTTTTGGTCAACGCGGGAAGTCACACACCTGTGGAACTGCTGGCGAATACGAAGTTGGTGACGCCAGTTTGGTCCATACATCTGAGCAGATTAGTGGCTATGCCCATGTTCACCTCGTAGTACTTCAGGGGATATTTCACGCTCTCCCCCACCGACTTCAGACCAGCTAGATGCATCACGCAGAAAAAATTGTGCTGCAACATTAACATACTCTGTTAAACAGATGCCTATAATGTTATAAAGTATACACAAAACTATCTTAAATAATCAAACATAGTTGTTATGTCGTCGCTTTTTTTCTTCACGTTCTGGTTTTACTTTTCATAGGGGGTTGTGCGCTGACTTAAACTAAATTTGAAATGGTTTTCAAGCTTTTAAAGTAGTTTTTTTGACGATATATTCATTCCAAAAGGTGCTCAAAAACGGCTTTTTGGTCTGTGTTTATTCGAAAGTCCCGACACTTTTTACTGTCTCGATTCTTAGAAAAAATAATTATTTTAGTTATTTTGTAATAACTGAGATGTTGTGACCTCTTGGAAAATTGTGAGTAGTTTATCTTTCTCCAGAATGTCCATCAGGTAGAAAGTGACTTCTTTTTTCTTCCCTGTCTTCCCATTGGCCAGCTTCTCAACTCGAATTAAACTCTCCGGTTTTTCAGCACCCTCTGAAAACAAAATCAAGGGTTTTAACCGGTAGCTTGACAAGTCAGTTGTAGTGTAAAAGTGGCTAGGAAAAAGACCAATTTTAACCTCCCCCTTTTTTGCGGTGTGCCGTTGCAAGGACCACTTTTAAACCCCAAAGGGGTTAAAACTCCTTTTTAACCCCCTTTTTCGGCCTGCTGTTGGAATGACCACTTTCGACCCCCAAAAGGGGTTAAAACTCCTACTTTTTCGGGCACACATGTTTAAAGGGGGTTAAAATTGGTTATTTTCCGGTGACTCTACGGAAACGGGAACGGAATTAAGTTTTGGTTGGTGCATGTTTTCCCTTGACTTTGACAGCTCAAATTTCACCGCACCGCGCGTTATATTAAGGATTAATATCTATAAATTGTATACACTTACCCGAAGGTTGATCTTGCAGAATGCAGACTCGAGTGGATAAAGAGGGAATAAAAATAAAGCAAAGAGGGAACTAAAAAACAAAGTTTGTATAAAAAAACCTCTTCTTTATAAGAAGAGGTGGGAGTAATGGAAACAGCTGGGCTGTGCATTAGCCCAAGCAGATCAGAAGCCCTGGATTCAATCAAGAACCCGAGGACGACTACGTCCCTGAGTTGCTCAGTGAGTAACTGCGACTCAGCTGACTCAGGGACACTAGTCCGGGGAAGAGGTTTCCTCTTAGCTCACTGGCGCGGTTTGAGGCAGAGCTCCTTCACCACCAGAGAGTCAGGATCAGCACCAGCCTTATATCCGACATGCATCCTCAATGTGACTGTTATATTGTGGATTATTTTGTGTGGAACTAGATTGAATTGGTAGTTTTATATTGTTGTTTTGATTACCCCCTCACGATTGGAGTTGATTTTTTTAGTTTTCGGTAAAAATAACAATTTTGAGAAGCTTTATATCCTGAATGAAAAGTACTATCAAGCTAATCATTTATAATCATAACTTATTCAGAACCGTCTAATAGTAAAACGCGTCGATTTAAGCACCGCCATTTGGATGGTCTTGTTTCTTCCGGCTCGCTTTCGTTTCGAGCCTCAATCTCCAAATAGAGGCAATTGTACGCTGCTATTTTTTAACCGCTTTGCCCACTTAGCTGGTCGACATCTGCCAAATCCTGTTCTAACTCTTAAGCAGTGTGTGTGGGATGATTGAAGCCCATATCTGGCGGTGTAAAAACATCCACGTTATATCCACCCTGCGCTTCTATAGCTGCAGCCAAATCCTCCTTTCCGTTATCGGTGGGAGTGACAACCACGTCTATGACGTATTCGCCCCAGTCCATGTTGCGCCCAATTTCTTTTATGAACATATCCTCACGCAAACGTTTATGTCCGAAAGGACTAGTAGTTACTCTGCCTGCATGTATATAGCTCTTATTGTCAAATGCGCCTAGGGAAATTTTGTTTGTTAGTATGGTTAGTAAATTGTGATTACAGGAACTTATCCGCATATTTTCTGACCGGGTCAGCGAATAGTAAGTCAAGGTTTGATTGTATTGATTATGGATTAGCTCCCGTTTTGTATATGTGAAGACACCCTCGGCGTTTCTTTTGTCATTTTCTACACAAAAAGACAACCAATTTCAATCAAGTTTTTGACAGTTTTTATGATTTTCCAGATAAACTCCCCCGCTACATAATCTTATGAATTGTCTTATTGCCCTTTTCTAAATTGTAATTGGAAACTAAAAAAGAAATTTACTGGAAAAAATAATGCTGTACAGTTTGAGTTTTATTTCGAAGTACTCCTGTATATTATCCCCAGCAAACTTGTCCTTGAGATTGAGGGTGAACCGCAAATTTTTGTTGTTGTAGAGGGGTTGGTGGCTGGTAGATTTGAAAAATCAAAATGATTACGCAGTTCATGGTTTTTCTCGATTTCCTTGTAGAGATCTTTGCTGCGGATTTCATAGAGGAATGAACCAGTGTCCGAATAAAAAAAAGTTGCGTCGAAAATTTTCTGGGTTGTGTTGTAATGACACTGGAACATGTAAAATTTTGCCATTTCTAATATCTTTCCACAGATAATTGTGAGCTTATTCTCTTTAATGTTCACAGGTTTTGAGGTTAAAGATACAAACGGTTGGGTCAATAATTTCTGCACTGCTAAATCATTTTATTCGTTGTTAAGTTTTGCAGTTCTTCGGGATTCCGAGCAGTATCTACAATTGGTCGTTTACTTTTTGATTTGTAGAATTTTCCAAACGCATTATTTATAACTTGTTTGGAGAAATCCGGTGCAAGTTTTGTAGTAACTTTTTTTTGGAGCTCAGTGTTCCACTGAACATATGGCGCAATAAGTTTTTCTTGTCTCTAACTGCAGAAATCGATATATTTTTTCCATTTTCAAACCAAATGTGACACAAGGTATTAGGTAGTGTTTAGTATAGTTTTTCTTTGGAAAGAAGTTTTGTTTGAGCTTGGGCGTTGTTCTCACTTTATCTGAAACTTCCTTTTTTTCAACATGTCCAATTGAAGCTCACTGAGCCACATTTTCGACACAATATCTTTTGTTGTGGCAAGTGTTTAATCCAGATGGCCATCGTGCGGATAATCGGGGTGTAAAAGATCAACGTGCAAAAGGTATCCGATGTATCCGGTATAGTTACTTGGCCATCAAACTCGAATCAAATTTTTGCAAGAGGAAATTTATCCATAATCCCGCATTATATAAATTGTTCGCGTCTATCATTAAAAATTAAGTGCTCGGCTGTTTAGATTCGTATTTTTTCATAGATTTAATGTTGTTAAAAACAGAACTTTTTCAAAAACACTGACAATGCCTCACCTGATCATGTTTTCTGCCATATCCGAATTCTCCCTATCAGTGAGCAAATGGAGGTCAGCCTTGCATGTTTGCAAAAATGCATCCCCTGAGAGATTGCTAGCCGTAAAATATTGAGCGCAACCTAGCTTATTTGTTTCATTACACGCTCGTCTAATCTCTTCAAACACGCATGCAAGGATCAAGGCATCAGTCGTTAGAAACAAACCACTGTAGTCGCCCAAAGTCAGACAACCGAAACGAGTGTACACTAACCATGCATTTGGTATTCTTTTTCACTGATACTAACAGCAGCACCTCCCTGCAGCGTGTGGATCCACTTGTCCCGAGCAGGTAGTCCATCTAATGTAAATCTTGCATACCTGTCAACATACGAGTAAGGGAAGTAGCCTTTTTTGTCGAATCAATGCTTTAGGTTCTTCCGATCGGCTACCAAAGTGGTTATCTGGTAAGATTCTGAGCCAGTTCCTTTAGTGAGCTGTTCATAAACTTACAACTGTTTACAAAAAGGATTTCTTCGTAGACTTTTTTTTCGTTAGTGTACGATCTGATCCACACTTTGTTTGTCAATGAACCAAATTTTTCGTCATTGAGTGGAATGACCGAAAAGATTTTTCTGATTTAGTATCATGCAGACTCTTCAGTACATGGTGTCATCCGTAATTTCGGAGATTGTGGGCAAAGACAGGGGTGAAATGTATGGTACGTCTCACTAAGTTGCATCTGTTGTGAGCCCATCCGAGGAATGATCCATCGAAATGATTATGGTCCAATATTTGTGCGTTAGTTTTGGAAAACTCCTCTTAGCAATTCCAGAAAAAACTTGAGTAGTAAGTTTCTATTAATTTTAAGCCATCATACTAGTAGTTCTTCAACGAATGTGCAGCTAACCATTAGTCTTGATGTGCTTAGACACAGGTTTGCACCAACTAAAAAAATCGTAAAGAAAATCGTACAAGCTCTTGCGCTCTTGGTTTTCTGAGATAATCGTAGAAGCTTGCTTTCTTCTTTTCTCTACTCTGCATCGTACAAAGAGTAAGCGGGATATTGTTCCGCCGATGATACTCAGCAAGAAAAGAGTATTCAAAACATCTATCGTCTTCATAATTGCGAATGTTCAACAAAAAGTGTTTGTGTTTCAGAAGATCGGCTGGTAGTGGCAAGTACGATGAACACGTGATCGGCGCAGACTTTACCATTTGAAGGATAGGACAACCTTATCAATCCTGCGATTTCTCCAGTCGCTACAATGAGAAGCATATTTGATGGACAGTAGACACTTTTTGGTCAAAGCAATCATAAAATTGGTCCTGGGTCCATCCCTAAACTTCTACATTTCTTCTATGCCATCTGCTTTTTCTTTTTCAAAAGTTACTTCTGCCGACAACTGAGCTTTTTGAGGATCATACATAGTTTTTTGATGCATCAGTTCTTCGATATCGTCTCGCTCGCTTAGTCACGAATAGCGCAAGTATGTCCACTTCTTTCCATGGGCACTATCTCGTATAATCTAAGTGCTCCATCAAAAGATGTCAAAACAGGTTGTATAGAAGTGAGGATTTCTCGACAAACATCCCAAGCTGGCAGACTGCGTCCGCTTCGCATATGCGCAGATTACGCGCAATGTCTTTTTTGAACACATTCATGTCGCGTTGTCAATTTCTTCTTTGTTCAGACTCATCGATTGTTTTCTGACGCTCTACCACATGTTCCCAAAAGACACGAAGTGACTTAATCTCCAGTTCACAGTGACCACATATAGAGTCAATTTTGACAGCATCGATCTTGTGAACAGCCAGTGGCTCAGTTTCTCGGGTCGCTCAGTTTCTTTTGGCATAGATTACAAGGTACGACTTTTGTAGACATTGCGTGGTTGTTTGTTGAGAAACTTGAAATTTTGGACAGCAAGGTTTATAGTTCAAATGAAGCAGATACTGTTTTATAGATCAAAAGGATTTTAAAGTTTCCCGTTTGTTTCACGACTGCGATTAAAGCTGTTTAGAATTTTCAATCGTTTTCTAAACGTTTTCAATCATTTGCTTAAAAGCCAAACTAGGAGTGGCTTCTTAAGGTAAAGCTAAGAATAATAAAGCCGAGATGGTGCACACAAATTGCAAGCACTTACATCAAAGAAATCAACTTGAGCTTAGTTTATAAACTTATAAGTAGTCTCAAAAATCAACCAAATTTTCAGAGTTAACCAAGAAGA